TCTATAATTACAGGTTCAACAACTAGCAAATCTGACTCAGTCTTATTGGTAGTTAATTCAGCTGTATTTGTAGTTCTCTTATTGTCAACAACACTACTGATGCAGGCATTAGGTCTGATGATAGAGGTAACTTGGCTATCATACTTGAATATACTTTGATGAATTTCATTCACTAAGGATGGGAATGTTCTATATGATGATCCAACAGTAGATCCAGAAGTTGTAGTACTTATGTCACTGCATTCACTGGAGAATCCATCACTGTCACAATTCAAGCCCAAGCTCATCTGTGTTAATTTCATGGGAGTTTGTTGAGAAATCAGCCTAGCAGCAACATTTCGCAAGTCATCCACAGATAAATTTGAATCTAATGATAAAGCATCATTGAGTGATATACAAATTACGCTAGAAATAAACATAAATTAAATTGAAATCATGTCACAATGATCTTGATAGGTTATACCCTTTGCTTGTTTCCACTAGAATTCCATTACTAAGAAGATTGGTGGCCTCATCAGCTGTTTCTCCGTCCATTTTGATTTTAAATTTCAACATGAATTGAAAATCTCACGAAAATTGAGCACTGCCATCAAATACCTAAAAGAAAATGCATTTTCTATGTATGAAACCTTCACATGTTGATACTGTTGAAAAAGAAGGAAGAAAAATAATGAAGTTTTTGACAATAATGACAAGTTAATTTCTGACATCTTCCTTTTGCCTTCAATTTCTGCTACACGGTAACCCACCTCCTAACCAGTGGTGTACCAGTAATAATCGGTCTCCAGTAATCAGTATTTTAGTATTACTTACCGTTGTCTTGGCCATTTGGCCAAGGAACAAGCCATTTAAAGAGAAGAAGAAGTTATGAAAAAGAAAGTGGATAGGCAAGTGGATTGGTTGATAGGTTGATAAACTATACTTTTTGTCCAGACTGCCGACTGAGATCTGCCGACCATCATATAATATGTACTATTTCTATATATGGCCCATTGCCTATACGATATCTCAACAAAAATGGGACCGAAATGAGAGGTTCTTTTTGAATCTGTAAGGATGGAAACAGCCATATTGGTTTGACAAGTTTCGTATTATTTTTTTCCCTACGTCGACATCAACGCCTATTGGTCGATTTCGTAGTTGGTCTCGCTTTGAGGACAGCTATGATTCATATATGAGTAGTAGATATATTATATGCTGCTGACCTGCTGACCATTCAGTGATTCAGTTGACATTCTTTCTGTATAGATTGCCGGCTGGTCGGCAGTCTATACACTTCCAATGAAAAAAATGTAAGGTTATGATCTTATTTTTGAGATGAGTTAAGTAAAAGTTATGTTAAAAGTTAAAATAAAATTATAAAATTATGTCTTTGAAAAAACTATTTTTGAGTACACTACAAAAAACAAATATAAATGCTTATTCTGTTGCAAAAGCGTCTACTTATCACAATTCCATAAGACACTGCTGTAATAAAGTCCAAGTGAGAACAAATTTTGCAGCAAACAATGAACCAAAGCCATTGGGAAAACTTGAAGGAAAGCTGTATTTAGGTTATACATGCAAGGTTTGCAACACAAGAAATTCCAATTATATTTCCAAAGTTGCATACAGAAAAGGAGTGGTTATTGTAAAGTGTAGCAGTTGTGATAATCACCATTTGATAGCAGACAATTTGAACTGGTTCACAGATTTAAATGGAAAAAGGAATATAGAAGAGATATTGAAAGAAAAAGGTGAAACCATTCAGAAAGTTGATCTGGAAAACTGTATAGAAACTTTGAAGTCTGTTGAGAAAGTTTAGAAAAAATATTGACTTGTGATGATAACCTGATGAAATTTATGTTTAAAAATAATGCTGTAATGTAATTGAAACAAAGAGTTAGTATAAATTGGTTTATTTATTATTCATATAACTTTAAGTAACATGGCAGTTATACTACTGAGATGAGAGCCTACACTCTACAGCCACAGTTTTGTTAATCTGTGCTCTTACTGTGCTACAGCCTAAAGTTTTGGAACCATTCCCAAAAGGGAAAATTATTCTTGAGAGACTATAAATCACTATACAAATGATCTCAGTGGGCTGACGCCATGCTATTAGTGTACCAGAATAAAAAATTCCCTGACCAAACTCAGCCTACACAATTTTATTGTGAAAAATAATCATAAAAAACAGGAATCTCAACATATGTGGTGGGAATGGTTCAAAATATTTAGGCACTTCTATACTGAGTTGGTATTTTGGAATATTCAACATCAGTTTTTACATAGGTAATAAATTTTTTTTGGATTAATTGATTCAATTTGTATAACAAGCAAGGCAGATCACATATCTGGAATATTTTCAATATTGTCAGTGTGATGAATAATAAATACAGGGTGAATCTGAAAGTGATGTTTTTTTATTTAACAGGGCATCGTGATAGAAAATAAGCGTACACCACCTGTCGGAGTTCTTGAAAGCTGTCAAAGCGGCATGTTTACTTTGTTTTCATTGGTTTACATTTGTTTTTTGTTTGTGCTGATTGGTCATATCATCAAAACAAACCGCTCAGAGGTGTTCAAGTTGCTGCCGTCAGATGGGGCGACGTGTTATTTTCTATTGTGAATACCTTACCAGAATAAGTTGTTTGGCCTAAGGCATCATTTCCCTCCTAAAGTTTTTTATTATTAATAATAAGAGTTGGTTACAAAATTTTTCCGTCGAATTTTATCCAGTGATGAAGAAAATTTGGTTTGCGCACAGTAAATACCTCTTACAAGATCTATAGAGAATTAAACTGTGGTTAGAGTATTCATCATTCATCCAGGAACTACTAACATAACAATCGCCCAGTAGCCCTGAAAGTCACAAGCGTCTCGGGCCAGGACCGTTACATAGTGTCGGCTTCATTCTGTTCTGACCTGATGGATGAAGGATAGTATCATTTTAAATGTAGCCGATAGTGATTCATTGTTTCAATGATATTTTCGTTTAGGATCGAGTTCTATTTGAGAAATTTCAATGTGTAAATAATAAAACTACTACATTCATAACCTGTCAGAATGAAGCCAACTACCCTCTACATTCCTACTCCGAGACGCCGATCACAAACGAACTTGTCACTGACATATTAGCGACATTTGTGGAAATGATCAATATGGAAAATAAATTCCTTTTGTTAGGAAACAGATTACAATCATTTCATCTTCGATGAAATCCATATTTTCGATTTGAATGCAGATTCCGTAAGTTATAATGCAAACAATGAATGGAAGAGGTGTATGTTTGGTTGCCTATGCAACAATCGTGCATTCATGAACATTCAACATACTCGTTAATAGGAAGTGGATTGAAAAATATTTAATATGATCAATTTTTTGCCAAACAATTTGTTTTGGTAAGATATATATCCTGTTAGAAAAAAAAAACAATTTACGATTCACCTTGTATATAAGACATAGACTCAAATGTTTGAAAAATTTAGAACAGAAAATTCCTGGTTTTGGGGTTTTATATTATAAGACTCAATAAGTGAATCATTACCTTGTATAGGTATTAGCCTCCAAAAGTGCCTATGGTAAGGCTTTCAAAATTGTGACAGATTTTTGTTGCCAATAAAGATATAACTGATCCAGAATCGAAAAGAGATTTAAATTTGCTGTGAATTATGAACTATAGTGAATAATGAACATAATAGGTGGGTTCACAAAAAAGTTAATGGCACAGTACATGAATCATTGGCCTACTCAAATTGGCTTCAAAGTTCATGAAAATTGATTGTACATCAATATCAGAAGTAATTTTATTAATAAAAAAGCTATCTAGAAATGGGGTAGCTCATATCTACACTTTTAAGAAATTCAATAAAAAATAGTGTTATTTCAACTAACAAATTACTAGATACAATAACTAAAATTTAGATATAAAAATATAAAAGGGTAAGGCACATTTTATAATAATTATTGTGTGTATGTACACAAAAAAGTGATGGGCATATTATCACAGAGACAGGCATATCACTTGATACATAGAAAATGGTCAAGAATTCGAGAAAAGCTGTCCACTCCTGTCTTGAACTATAGTTCCATCAAACAGAATTCTATTAGTATAATAGTATTGATTTGAATCTTCTGAAGTTGTAGTAAAATAATTAATGACTTAACAATGTGGATTCAAATCTGAATCACACAGTAAATCACTGATTTCATTTTTTTTTTCTTTGAGGAAGCCCCAAAATGATTTAAAATGTTCCTAAAACTAGATCCATATTACAAAAGTAAAATAGTTTTTCCATGATACTTATATAGGCAAATAGATATTCTTATCACAAAATGGAATGGAAATAAAAATACTCTATGAATATTATAATACATTGGAGAATACTGGAGATTTTAAGTTTTCCATGTTAAATCAGGTAATCATGTTATCAGACAGCCAATAGTTTTGGACAAGATGATTTGGAATTCAAATGCATGGGGAAACACCTGATGAACAAGCCAAATCCTCAATTCAAGTGGAGTTTTCAGATAAAACATCTTCATTTTGGCATAAATGAAAACAATGGAGAAAGTTTGTGTGATAATCTTTTGATGTTTTAGTAACTTATTTAGTATTATAAATCTGAATCAGATCATTTTGTGAATAAGTATGGCTCAGCAGTGTCAAATCCTAATAGTAAGTACCAAATAAGCCAATTCATTATCACAAAATAAACACATTTCATCAGAAATCATGATTATATCTAGTAGTGATAAACAGAGTTGCCCCCACCATTCGTTATTCCAATCATTTATTTGAGTTTCGATTTTTTGTGATTTATGAATGAATCAAGATGTCTTCCTATTGTTATTAAGTCTGAGACCATGCCCACCTGAATTAAGTGAATAATTGACATTTTTACTATTATTTCACTATGAAGTACATAATATACAGAGTTGAAATAAAGTCATTTTTCTGTTCCACTTACCACTTCTCATCGTATTATCTCTAAGCACTTACAAACCATTTTTTCTGACTAGACTCTTTTTGGCTTACTGATAACAGCATAGGGTTCCTCATTATGGAAGTGATGGGCCACATCCGCTTTTCTCTTATCTTCAACACTAATTTCATTCTGGAGACACTGTACCTAGAAATATGTTCATTGTTCAACAAACAGTAACTTTGAGTTTTGATTTGCCAGATTTTGATAGGTCATCAAAGTTTTTGGTAGAGGGTGAAGTTTTGAACACAAAATGGATTAAAGAATTAAGGTATTCTTTACACAAAGGATGAAATTTCCACAAAAATCTCAGAAGCACAACACGTTTTACTAGCACAGAAGCTTTTTCAAGTGAGAAAATTACCATTGGAATTCGGTGTGACGGATTAACTTGAAAAGTGTGATTGCAATTGTTGAAGTCTAATTGCAAGGCTTGACTTGCAAGCCATCACACTGAATTGTAATGTAAATAATTGTGCATAATTTTCAAAATGAAGATACAACTAGCCTGCTCATGTCAACGTTGGGGTAATTTATTATTTATTAGTCACTGGAGGGTATAATTTAGATAAATTCACAGCTTTATGTTTAGCTTGAAATATCTAGAAAAAAAACTATGAAGAAAGAATACAATATTTAGATATTTATGTAGAAAGTATTGGAGAATAGAAAAATGATGATAAAATGACAAAAGGCGAGTGGACTATTTAAATTACTTTAGAATTTTGCGGGTGAATTTAAGAAAATCATCAATAATGCGATGGTGATTTACAAACGGCTAGAAATTTACCGCGAGTAAAAACTGACAACACAATTGCGTAAGTACCAGACCAGAGCACAGTTGCCGCATATGTTGAAATAGATTGGGAACTTTAAAAATATTAGTTATTCAATAATTCATAAATTCTCAATTATGTATTGGTAATATTCCTTATTATCAATCAAAAATCAATTGTCTCGATATTTTCCCATATGTGTTGTGGCTTATTGCTTTATAATACATTTGTCTCAATAACAATTGAAGAGGCAAGTGGAAGAAAGAGGCAAGTGGAAGAAAGGGGCAAGTAACATTTTCTGAAAATATGTCATGGAAGAAGGTGTTAAGTGCATATGTAAATTGCCCTGTCAGGATTTGTTTCTATTCTTCAAATCTGAGTAGATACACAGTGGCAGAAGGGGCTATGTTACACTAAAGAGCAAGGACACAATGGAAGAAGGATCTATATGCCCATTATCTACATGTCAGGAACTGGAAGAAGGGGTCATGTACGCATGAATCTATATGTATATAAAAAATGATATGATAGCAAAATGCGGTAAATCATAAAAAAACAACCTAAAACTATTCCTCACAATTGCATGATTCAAATCATTAAACTAGCTTTCATTAAAAAATGTCAGCTATCTTTACTAAAACCTATTTTTCTCACAAACTCATATTTGTACCTTTTTCCTCTTGCCTCTTCAATTATTATATTAAATCATACTAGAGGACAAATGAACTGGTAAACGTGGCAACACGGCGCACGATTTGTGGGCGGTGTCTTGTCAGTTCTCAGCATTCAGCACATTGTTGCCAAGTCTTCAACATTTACATGATATGTTGTTATGGATTATAAGAAACATTTGAACATGCTGGTTGCTCAAAAGAGTCAAGAATGAACTATAATATCATGGCTTCCTCCTATCATGTTTTATCTCGTGTTTTACTCAACGACAGGGCTCTAAAATAATTTTGAAAATTCGATTACAATTGGCGACTTGACAATCTTACTTCATTATAGGGATTCCCTTTCGTGCGCTCCGAGCGATAAAAAAAAATTATCTGACTAATAACAAAACAGCATAAAAAAGAATTTGGGGAGGATCAACCAGTCTCTTGCCCCTGTCATACGGCTCTGGTAGTAGCCAGAAACGTTTATTTCACATAATTTATTAGGACATATAGTATTTGCACTTCCCGCCAAATATGACAATGATACGTCAATTAGTTTCAAAGTATACATGGCATAATGATTTCTTAATTTTCAAATAAAACACCCTGAAACTCAGACAGGGGACACATTTTATCTAGGTGATTTGGGTTGAATAATGAAACACCCTGTATATTTTGTAGAAATCCCATAGTTTATCACATTTTACTCAAATTTTCTAACAAATGTATTATTCACTAAGAGGAAACTATATCTTTGAACATGTTTATACATATTCATCAAGAAATGATGATTGAAATATTTAGTATGGCACTGAAGTGGACTTGACTTAAATCAAAAAATTATTATGGCTTGCGTGCAAGAACTGTCAGATGACCGACCCAGGAGGTGAAACATTGAAACACAACCTCACTTTTCTTATTTACAAATGATTGAAATAGATTTTCACAATTATTTTGGCATATGAATTGTGTTTTTTGGCTATTCATTAATTCGCGCACACCATCACATTGTGCTGTTGTACAATGCACAAAAAATGCAACGAGAGACGAAGGAATCCGGTTAGTACATTATGATTTAAAAGTAAGTACCTACTATAGTCACTCACATATAGTTTTCATTTTGAAGTTTTGTAATTTCTCTGATTACTCATCGATATTCCTTTTGCAATGAGAGCTAATAAAAATACTTGTGAAATTTCTAAAAGAATGCAATAAGATTGGATTCATGCAATCAAACGGGTGGACTGGTCTGACATGCTGACGAAATATGATCGTGTGTGTTGTAGACATTTTCAATCTTTCAGCAGTATAAGCTTCTATTGCAGAAGTGGCAGAAGGAATTTTAATAAGAAATAGGAGTTGACAAAATTTCATAATGAAAAATCATATTCCTTCGTGTCTCGCTGTGTTTTTTGTGCATTGTACAACAGCACAATGAAAAGGCATGCTTGAATTAATAAATAGCGCAAAAAACACGATTTGTATGCCAAAATATTGTGAAAAACTATTTCAACCCTTTGATTCCTCTGTAAACAAATGAACAAAGTGAGGTTGTGTTTCAATGTTTCACAGAAGAGTGAGGTTGTGTTTCAATATTTCACCTCCAGGGTCGGTCATCGTGCTCGCGACCTATACCTGAAGAGATGAAATGAAAGATTCATATATACCTCATCATATTCATTGTAAGAAGGCGGCTCCACAGGGTTCACAGGAATGGGAAACACCTGTTTGTAAGGCGAGTTGAAATTCAGCTTACTGGACGATCCGAAAAAGTTGAGCTTGTCATACTGCGCGCTGTCATTCTCCGTCGGCACGTTCTGCGGTATAATAGAGGGCGCCAGAGGCTGTTTGACCGCCTCGATACCCCTCCTAACCTCCCCCCAAGACATGTAATTCTGCTCCTCGTCCTCTGTGATCTGCTCCATATGGTTGGGAGACTCGATGCCCAACGTCTGCCAGGCGTTATTCCGGATCTCCACCTCGTCGTATTTCCTGGTGACAGGCTCATAGGCGAAATCTTCAGGCTCGGGGCTCAGTTTGGGGGCCGTGACGAACTTCCTGGGCGGTTTGGCCGGTTTCAATTTCAGCGCTGGTTTCGCTTCGGGTTTCGGCTTGTTGAGGCCGAGTTGGGATTTGGTGGAGATGGTGGAGATTGGGGAGTCGGTTATGGAGGCAGATGGGACGGTGGGGGAGGGCGGGAGAGGGGTTCGGGATCTTGCCTCCATGGATAGGGCGGCGTGGAGTTGCGCGTCTCCGCAGTCGAGGATCGGTGGGGACGATTCGCCCGAGAGGAGTTTCCTCATGGACTTCATCTTGGTGGCGAGACACCTGGAAAGGGGAAACTCCTACTAGACCAGAGTCGATAATTTTTGAAAGCGAAAAAAATTGTAGTAGAATGAAACTCATTGAAAGAGGAAAAGAAGATAATAACAGAAACAAATATCAAACGCCTCGGAGGTTGGAAATCTTCCAGCGTGGCAGAAGGTTATGTAGAAAGCTCACCAAGTTTGCAAAAGGGCCTATCAAATAAAATATTGAACTTCAGTGACGCTGTCGCTGGCCCGTCCACTAGTCAACAGCTGTTACCAGTGAAGCCTTCCGAAATGACCTCTTCCAGCCAAGTTCTGATGGCCACGGTTGCTGACAAAGCAATGGAAAACCGTAATATTACTTCATTAGAAAAAACTTTAGCTGCTGCAATTAATTTGCAGAATGCAACAAATTGCACGTTTAATATTGATATTAATAATAATTAATTTGCGAACTATGTATTTAATAATAAATGTTTCTTCATGTTAACACTTGGGTTTTTTCCGCACACTAGTAGAAAAAATAGTGTATCATGTGCGTAAAGTGACTTTTCCGCACTTGTTAGGTAAACTACTATATCAGTCCAGTCGCCCATTAGTCGGACCGAAAAGCCTGGATTGACATCTAGGTCTAGAAGAATACAAGCTGGGAGGTCTGCCAAGAATGAAAACACTACTCAGAAACGCAAATATGCTAGATCATTAAGGGATGGCATATTATCTGCAAATAGAAATAATACAAAATCACACTAATTTTTTTTTTCAGTTCTTCAGTGGATCCTTCATCTGCAGCAGATTTGAAAAAAAGGATATTCATAATAAATTTTCTTTTTATTTAGCGTCATTTTACTTTTATACTCAATATTTTGTACCAACCGTATTATGGATTTTAATTGTAAACCATCACCCATCTCCATTTGACGTTGTATGTGCATTGTATGCTAGTAGATTTAGAAAGTCCTTCGGAAAGTCCCAAACGCGCCCTTATGCATTTATAAATTATACTAACATCCAAAATCTGGCCGCGCTGTACATTACTATGGTTAGAAATGTGAAAAATCGTGTTTTCCGTATTGCAAAATGTACCGTTGTACCTGGTTGTACTGAGTATGTTGGGTTGTACAGTAGTATAGTCAGTAAATAATCTTCCTAGATGATTTAAGAATACAATTGGACGCAGTAGGTGGCGCTGCTGTCGGTAGGTCAGCTACTAAACGGCTTGACCGATTTGGTTGAAATTTTTAATAAATAAAACAATAACAAAACACGAAAAATACTGAGATAATGAGAATAGGTATAAGCATATGATAGTAGCTATTGGTAAGCACACACAAATTATAAAAATAAGAAAAAATTATGTACTGTAGATACGCGCATAGCTCAAAACGACTGCAACAAATGTCGTATTTTTTTTAATGGGTACACCGAGGGGTGGGGGGACAAGGCGGCAATAGGTGTATAAAATGTTCGGAAATAAATGGCGATACCTGTGGCATATAGGCATTATCGGCATTATTCGAGAATAATCGGCACTAAATGGCAATAGTCGGCATTGAAGAAGATATGCAGAATAGGCGGCATTAGGTCGGAATTATCAGGCAATAATAGATATGAAAAGTTCGGCAATAGATCGGCAATATGTCGGATATAGTCGGGAATAAACTGCACTGAATGACATAACAGCGAAATAAAGTGGAGAGGGGCGTCTATTCTTTATTTCTGTCCAGTAATTCATTGCTTGCCCTAGGTGTTGTTTTTATTTGCATTTCGAATATATCGTTTTCGAATTACCCCAACTCCTAATAAATTATCGAAAGTGACACGACACAACATACATAAATGAAAGTTACTTCGTTCGCCGATAGATGTACCCTGGGAATGTGCTGGGATGTACGCAGCTAAACTCCGCCGAAAAGATAATCTCGTGAAATCAGTATAATTTTCAAAATCTGTCATGTCCGTTTGGAAAACTCCGAGGAAATGTCACTTAATTCAATTCAGGTTTAACTTTAGGGCTTCAAGCTCGGCTTCAAGAGCTAGGTGCATATCTACACCAACTTTTTTTCTATGCAATTTTGGGCAGGTTGGCCAGGAAATATGAAAATATAATTTTGACCTGAAAATGATACTCTTGTTTAGTTTCGATAGCATTTTTCGATGGAAAATACCCTTTTTTCATTATCTACTTCTCATGTTTGACTCATAATATGAGGGGAACAATAAAAGGAATAATTTCAAAAATATTATGGTAGGTACCCAATGAAGAAAAAGTATTATTTGTATAATGAATTTTCGATGTAATTCGATTTTAAAAGTCTGCTGTGTAATAAAAATCGTACTTTTTCTTTATATTGTACCTACCAAAATCTCTGGCCATCTTTCAGATGGCAATAGCTCCCCAGAGGGTCATTTCTGGGCTCATGTTCATATGAACTTTTTTTACAATTTCTGTTCTTAGAATCCGTGGTTGAAATCTTTCTATGTAATTTCGGGACACCCTGTATATAAAAATGAATGTTTGTCTGTATGTCCTTCATAGAATCGTAAACGGCTTGACCGATTTCACTAAATCTCTTTTTGTTGTGTTTGTTATTGTCGGAGATTATTATTCTTTTGTCAAAATTGGAAAATTCAAGATGGCGGATCCAATACGGCGAACGAATTTTGTAATTATAATCCGTTTATATTCAAAATTGGTATCTGAGGATTTTTGGGGTCGAAGATTATGATTCTTTCGTCAAAATTGGAAAATTTAAGATGGCGGATCCAATATGGCGAACTAATTTTGAAATTATGATCCGATTCTATTAAAAATTCGAGATGACGAATCCAATATGTGGAACGAGCTATGTAATAAATAATGTTTTGAAAAACTAATGAAACACTCTTTCATAGATATCAAAACTAAAAAGAAGTAGAAAATAAATAGTAGTTTAGAAAACTAAAGAGATAGATTTCCGAACTGAAAAGAAGTAGAAAATAAATAGTGGTTTGAGAAACTAAGAAAACATGCTTTTATGGTTAGTCAAACTAAACAGAAGTGGCAATAAAATAATGAAAGTGTGTTGTTGAATATTAAACTGGAAAAATATTTTCTAGAAATAATGTACATAGCAAAACAACGTTTGCCAGGCAGCTATAATGAATAAAATGACTTGAAATAAATTCAATATTTGTGCACTCTCTTTCCTTCAAATTTATTTTAGTAAGCAGCAACACGTGCAGGGTACAGCTAGTATTTAATAAAATTGACAATGGTGAAACATTTTTCGTACTCTATTCCAATTTGCATTGATTCACTCAAACCTGAATCCAAATCCCAAGAAAAAACCTCCTAGAAGATCACACAAGCAGGATTCAAGAAAATCCCTCCTCAACTTCATCATGGAATCAGAAGACTTTCCAAGGATAAATCAATCATATTTTCAATCTACAATCTATAATTTTCATTCTACCAAAAATTACTTCTTGTATTCCTCTTGTAACTTGTAGGAAACTTATCAAATTATATTTCTTCTTGTGTCAGATTGTGCAGTTTCAATAATTATTATTCTAGGCCCATAGAAAAAAATCAACTGATATGAAGTTGAAAGATTCAAATTCAAGTAGGTACCTATAGCATGGGGATTAGCATCTTGATTAACCCTCAAGTACTACCAGCAGGTCAAACTGACCCAAGGATATGTTGAGAATCCTGTATCTTTGTCATTTGAGCTAAAAATATGTAGCCCTCTCTATAATTCTCTTGAAATTCTCCTGACATATACAGGGTGATTCAAAAGTAATATATAAGGTAAAAAGTTCCTATTAATATGGGTCTGAAAATGCTTTCTAAGGCCCCCCTGAACAGGACACCTTACAGATGATTTTTTCAGAGATTTTATTTCTATAACTTTAGAACCATTTACAATTAAATTCTGCAAATTGGTGTATGGTATAAACATTTGAAAAATTTGGTATATTGAATTCTCAATTCAAAATTCTAGAATTTATTTCAGGGGCATCACTTGTGGGGGAGGGTAAGGTAAAACACTGGTAAAAAGCATCCCTTTGCCTTTTATTCCCTTTTATTCTTATTGTGATTTTGTCTGGAAATTATAAAATGTTAAATTTTTTCTAGTAAAAAGAAGACTCCTAGTTCAACTGTGAACATTTCATGATTAGCACATGTTTATTGATGAAAATATTTACCAAAACTTCTGTTTTTTCTCTGGAAATACTCAATACATAAAAATTTTCTCCACAGCATATTTTTAGTCACATAAATGGGCAATTTTGCCCTAAATTAACCATCAAAGGGTCTGTAGGAGGTAACATGTTGATAGTAATTAATTACCTCTTTGAAGTTGACTAACTAACCCACTCCCTCACTGATGAATTATTGAGATTCAGCCATCCATGTTAAGTGAAACCTTGAGTAAAACTCATTACCATTTTTGAAAAACATCATGACATGTTTGCCATGCCTGTGTGCACCCCTAGGTGCACCCTTACCTGAATATTTCTTGTTGATTTGGATGCTCAAGGAAGAATGTCCCTTCACCAGATTCACACTTCCTACCAGCTTCAAATGTGAATTTCCCAGACTTATACCCATATCGCCTGATGAAACAATATGGCCATGTGAACAATAATTTACCATCCACAATGTTCTTCAGCTGTAAGGCAGCTGAGGTTAGAACTAAGGTATAATTTTTACTCTCCAAGCAGCATCTTTGTGACACAGGAGATGGATGGAGTTTAACATTGAAAACACCTTCACCAGATGAACAGTACAAGTCATTGTCCTCTTCAATACTCCCAATCTTTGAAATTTCATCAGGAAATGCTACTGACTGAATGGCACTCAGCCACTGGTTCATAGACTGCTCATGCAGAGCACCAAACTCATAGCTAGATATTCTTGTTGTTATGCCCAAAATGGTCGTTGTTTTGGATTGAACTTTTATGCAATCCTCCAAGGTGATTATTTTGCATTCTTTGGAGTCTACTGTATCATAAACCTCTAACCTTTCCACTCCGAATTTGCTGGCTTTGAAAAGCAAGCAGTACTTTTGTTGCCAGGATTTCTAAAAGAAGAAATGGGTACATGAATAGTTTGGGGCAGTTTCAGAATAATCAGCAGATTGGAAATAAACAAACACCTACTTTGAGTAATTTTCCAACAGGTGGTATCAACAAAATTCCTTGATGTATTGGTTCTTCTTGCTCCATGTTCACCGATATTTATGACTAATTTTAATTACATTGGCGAATAATATATCCCTTATCTTTGAATACCACATCCACATGCTACTTATCAGAAATTGCAACGATACTTTATCACATCACAATGCATCATACTAGTCATCACACAAACACAATACGTCAATAAGTAATAATAGACATTTTAAAATATTATAGTTGTTTTTTCTTGTTGAACCGTGTTTAAAACGATTTGAAATCAAGCATTTTCTTGTGCACTTTATGACGTCACCAAGTAATACGGTTCATTGCGGTTCAAAAACATCTAAATGAACGGTTCGAACCGTGTTCGAACCAGGAAAACCAGTGGAGGAGTGGGAAAACGTCGAAGTTTGATGGTTTGAGCGTTTTAGGTTATAAATATTATTTTTGAGAAATTGGCTATATAGCTCAAAAAATGGTGCATAATTTTCCACTCAAGGATTCTGGAAATTTTCAAAAAGAATAATCATTTCCAGATTATTATCTATTTCTCTGGACTGGTTCAACATTTGTGAAAGACAAACACCGTGTCACATCTGCTGAATTATCAATTGAAAAATCCACTATAAGTGATTCCATTCTTTTACACTTCTCAAGTTCTCACAGATAATCATCAATTTTAAAAAATTCAATTATTGATTTCGGTTTTTAGGTTATGTGTTATGTATCTGACTTATGACAGCTTCAATTTCGAAATAGTCTGTTTTCTTGAATGAGATAAATCACTACGTCACGCTTGAAAACGGTTCAAAACTAATCTTGAACATGGTTCAACAAGAAAAAACAGCTTTTATTTCTGACAGTGACATTATAAGCTTATATCGTCATAGTTACGATATCTATTATGAGGGTCATAACTCCCTTGGGATGTTATAGATGCTATAATTCCCTCTAAATAAAATTAAATAAGAAATGCATAGCAACAACCACGCAGTAACGTAGCAATAAGGAATCTCCTATTCGCGGTAGTCAAGATCATCATCTGACGTTCTGATGACATTGAAACTATACGGAAAAATATGTCTAACTTCCAATCGGGAAGGTATCTAATGAATGAAATCAGTCAGAAATAAAATTATCTATGTATCACGGGAATTACTGAGCCTCAATAACCTCAGGCAATTGCTGTCCCTCGGGCCAGAGGCCCTCGGGACGCAAACTTTGCCATCGGTAATTAAGGCCCTCATAATTCCCTTAATACATAAATAACTATTAATTTTTCATAACTTTTTACAATGTTGCCAAAGTTCCAAACTGAATTTCCAGTATTCTGTTGCTTTCTTACCGAGCAGCAATACCACTCGACTCGTCCTGAAGGACTCGTATCCTTCCTGTTCATGTAAAGAAAAAGCTTATGACCTCCGGGATCCCTGCAGAGAGAACTGAAATGTTCTAGAACATATTATATTGTAGCTGCTAAGGACTCCAGCATGGTTGGAATGCTTTTATCTGGCGCATCTCTGTTTGAATGCCTGTTCCAAAATCATCCTAAAGCCCGGACCAGGGACTTGTTGAATAGATGGGTCTCAGATAGGTCCTTCAATCTTTTTAAAAATAATGGATCCAACATTGTGCGGCCAATATTGAATAAGACACGTATGCCCTTAGCCCTATCAGTCGTATCTCGTATCACCTTCTTTAGAACCCTAAAATAACCAGGGAGAAGTTAAAGCATGAAAGAAGTGTTCTCTGACCACTTTTCTGTGAATCAAGGTGGATAGAATATGGTGTAATCACCTTCACGGCTTCACGCCTTCACAGACAGTGTTTTGTGTCCCCCAAACCCAAAACGCTTGACCGCATATTCCGCAATAATGGCATATTAGTTCTCAGTTGTCCGCAAGATGGCGACACTTTTTACAGATTTCCTTCATGACAGAATGCGGCGCTTACACACCGCTTGCACCAGAAATAATAATATCATAACATTCATAACAAAACCTCTGACAAAACTTCAGTCCTCAAATCAAATGAGATTGAATTTGAAAGCACGAAACTGTAATTTTGGAGAATTTTAATTGTTTAATTATATTCATTGGTCAGGACTCACAGGGCTGTCAGGGGCAGCTGCAACAAAGATAGCTTCTGATACGGTAACCTGTCTCTTTCACACTCGTGTTGTTTAATGGCGGATTATTGGTGTATAAATTTTCGTTTATTCATTGATTAAAGTACTTGAGATTTTTTTTTCTCATCTAAACAGGCAAAAAAGTGAAGACAGAACTTCATTGTTTTTTGTTATGTGAAATAAAAAGATTTGTGATTTCGAATAAATAAGCAATGGTTATTTATATACAGTGTGTGCGATTTCAACCCGCAACACCCTCCTAATTTGGAACCTGTCGATCGATTCACAAAAACAAAAATTCCATAATATATAGTACTCAACGAGCTCTATTCGCGAATATGCAAAAAAATTGACTATTCATATTTTCAAAGCCTACTATAGAAGGGGTCAAACTTTCAGAAACGACTATTATGCAATTTTTTTTCGGAACTGTAACTATCTATTCGATTCAGGCATAGCTGAATTACTTCCATAGGAAATTTGAACGCAAACTCTTATATATATAGGGTGTTAGTTGTTCAGTGACAAATTTTGATATTTTCGATTTTTTGATTCACCCTGTATCAAAATCTAAGGAGTTGATTGAACTGATGAAATAGTTATTCATTCAGAAACACATCGAATATTTAGATACGAAGTTTCATAGTTGTATCTTCTATACAGGAAGATCTCTCTGGGTCAGCCAAAAATTAATGAAATTGAAGTTGAAAAATGTTTTATGATCCGCATCTTTTTTCCTGGAAATATTAATAATGTTAATTATCTCGAGGGAATATTCTCTATACATTACGATTCCCATTTCATCTCAAACTCCCTTTCATTTCACCAAAATCGGTATATTATTATTATGATGACATGATCACATTAAGTATCAGTATATCAGTAGATCTCCTTGCATGCAGTCTTTGGAGAGTGTTTGTCTGTCTTTCTATTTTTATTATAATCGACAGTTAGTTATCAATCGAGATGATTTTCAAAGTTACTGTGTGGTGAAGTGTGTGAAAAACGGTTTACTCGAGTTTTCAAAATGGTGAACCTCAAATTTAGTTTTATTGATTTTTGGTTGACCTAGAGAGACCTTCCTGTAGAAGTTACAGAGATGAAACCTCGTGTCCAACTCATCCAAGTATTCGATGTGTTTCTTCATTGAATGACTCCATCACCAGTTATATCAACTACTTAGATTTTGATGCAGGGTGAATCGAAAAATCAAAAATATCAACATTTGCCATTGAATAACTAATACGCTATTATGATATTTTGCGTTCAAATTTGGTATGGCGCTGTTTAAGCTATGCCTGAATCGAATAGGCTAGTCACTGCTTCGCTAAAAAATTGCATAATAAAAGTCGTTTCTGAAATTTTGACCCTTTCAATAATCAAAGGTAGGCCTTGAAAATCTGAATATTTCAGATTTGCCCATATTTCCGTATTGAACTCGTTGTGTACTATTTATGAAATTTTTGTCTTTGAAAATCGGTCGACGGGTTCCAAATTAGGATCGAGGGTGTTTCTGCACATCCCCCGTATATCTTTGGATCACCCAGAATTGTTTTCCTTTATTTCTTGATGTCCGAACTTCCGAACTTACTGAACAGAAGCTTCAATGACTCTTCATTATCTACGCATTTTTGCCTTTGTCCAAAGTTACCCCACTTGGGCGGGGGCGGGGAAATTCGGACAAGCTTCATCGAAAAAAATAAGATACATGCATATTATACTATTCTGAACTTCCAATTCATATATGTATACATGTATAAATAGCAGAGAGATGTAATATCATATAAATAAATATTTTTTGAGAATTCTCCAGCAATTCGCAATTTTGTGGTATTCTACAAAATCATCCGAAATTATACCCCACTTGACGAAATATTCACCTAGCTACATCATGAATCATAAAATTTGTTCATGGTTTGTTTTTGTTACACTTTCCTCCCTCACTATTTATAGGCATCTAATGGTAATAATCAATTGAATGTTTTCAGCCACGAACAGGGTCGAGACATTTCAGCATTTCAGTCTTTTCAGCGTTTCAGTGGAAGTCGGTCGAGTGAGTTGCCGTCATCGCGTGCAAATGTTTGATCCAGGGTGAAAACAGCAAATGAACCGTCTTAGTTATAGCTATACCTACTACCTCTAGAGTAAATTCCCATTGTACTAGGTAAGATTTAGTTCATCTGAAATCTCTGTCTGAAGGAATGGATTTGAACAATATAGGCACAATGGTAATTTTATTTTTTCCTATATACATCCAATACCCAAACATATCAATCAAGCAAACCATTATTCTACGACGCGTTTATACCTATACAGGGTGAGTCATAACTATTGGGATATAGGTTAAGGGTAGATTGTTTGCGAGGGGTAAATCTGCTTGGAAGTCTGTTGTATACACTCCGTTGGAAGTCTTTGGAATTCTTTGGAAGTCTTTAGATGTTTTTGGATGTCTTTGGAAGTCTTTGGAAGTCTTTGGATGTCTTTGGAAGTCTTTGGATGTCTTTGGATGTCTTTTTGGAAGTCTTTAGAAGTCTTTGGGAGTCTTTGGGAGTCTTTGGGAGTCTCTGGAAGTCTTTGGAAGTCTTTGGTAATTGGAAGTCTGGTGTACACATTTTTCCTGGAGATTTACCCCTCGATTGTTTGGACCAAAATATGGCGATAGGACCGAATATGCTGTGGAAAAGGATACGGGGCGTTGAAATTGAATATATTTTTTCGTTTTTTGCTAATAATTCAACTGTAACTGCACCAACAGTTATCAAAATCGGCACAGAGGGATAATTTCATTCACGGAATATTATTTTATATATAATTCTACAGTTTGTTACAGGAGGCGCCACGTGAATTATTCCTGATGATGAAATCGACTGATTTTACTTTTTTTGACGAATATTTTCAGTGATTTTCATAAAAAAATATGACATAAACATCATTTCTACGTTAATATTGGTACTCTTGTTTAAACACGATATTTTCATCTAGTTTTTAGAGGTATATACTTTGAAATGCCCTGTATCTTTTTCTACAGCAATAACTATGGTGATCCAGATTTCGGGGAAAAAAGTGGTGAATTATAGACGTCCTAATAACATTTTCCGGAAATTTGGGTTGTTCCATGGCTTTGGCGAGCAGTGCATATCACTGGAGACGACTCCACTTGGTCATAGTGTGTATACAGGGTGGCCCACGGTCGATGGTACCTTAGACGTATATACGGAAAACGGTACATTGGATTATCCTGAAAATTTGGTTACTCTAATAAGCGTTTGTGATCTAACGATTCAAAATATTTTCAGCGAAGCAGCGTTGCCACTTTTACCAAAAAGTAGCATCATCTTTGTTATTTCAAATGGAACACCCTGTATTTCATTGTGTTTTTAGATTCTTCTCGAAGAGCTGATTTCATCAATGTATCACACTTGGGGTCTAGCAGGAATTATTACAGAGATATAGGGTGTTCAAGATCGAGATTTTTCAACTTTAGGATTTTTTTGTGTCGAAACTATTCATCATTGGTCAAAACGGCTTACATGTCCCTATATCAACTTTTTATTTACTATCTACTGAAATTTAATTGAAATAAATACAGGGTGATCAGAAATCTTGAATTTTTAACCACCCTATATTTGTTGCAATTAAGTGTCAGTAGATGGTGAATCGAAAGTTGAGATAGGGACATGTAAGCCTTTCTTATCGATAATGAATAGTTTCGACACAAAAAATTCCTGAAATTGAAAAATCTCGATTTTGAACACCCTATATCTCTGTAATAATTCCTGCTAGACCCCAAGTATGATGCATTGATGAAATCAGCTCTTTGAGAAGAATTTAAAAACGCAATGAAATACAGGGTGTTCCATTTGAAATAACAAAGATGATGCTACTTTTTGGTAAAAGTGGCAACGCTGCTTCGCTGAAAATATTTTGAATCGTTAGATCATAAACGCTTATTGAAGTAGCCCAATTTTCAGGATAATCCAATGTACCGTTTTCCGTATACGTCTAAGGTACCATCGACCGTGGGCCACCCTGTATATTGTCATCAGCCATATCCTATTTATCGGAATTGAAGGGCTCGTTGCAAAAACATGCTATGTATATATATTATATAATTTCGAGAAAAATGAGAAAAACGTTGAGGAGGCGTGTGTGCGACTTTTGATGAAAACTGAAAATGTCTACCTATAGGAATATTGATGAAAACAAGATCAATAATCTATATTTTCAGCTCAAGAAGAGTTATAGTTTTTTCAATTAGTCACTAGTATTCACATAGCACTTTCTTGCCACCAATTTGGTTGAAAAGAATATTACAAAGTGGTAGAAATTCGAACCTCATCATTGGGATCTTGTAAACCGTATATAAGATATACAGGGTCGGTTAAATCATGGCAAAGTTGCACAATTTTATGCCTAACAAAAAACTGTTTCGAAACTTGGAAAATTGCAAATATACTCTGGGAGATATACTGAAAGAACCTAAATTTCCTGAAACCTCTTTTATTTAGTTATATGGAGGAATTCATCGAAATGATTGAAATTGAAGATTTTGGCTTCTGTAGGTCGTATCTATATGCGAAATGCTACATTGATTCTCCTGAAATTGTTGCTCTGACTACGCTTTCCATAACAGAAATAGTGACATTTTTAAGATACCTACCATTCTGTAGGACAAATTATGGCCAAAATGAATCCATGAATAGAATTATGAAAACAGCAAATACACACAATTACCAAATTGAACTGTTCAATTCACCTTTTCGTTTTTTTCAGGAAAGCAATAAAAAACTTTTAATCGCTTATTTCATAATCCTTATCTTTTTGTTCGTTTTAGCCTTCTATATATTTTTTTGTGGTAGTCTTCTTCATAGATATAATATAACATGTACGTGCTCTGTATTTTTATACTTTCTTTATGTAAATTGCATTATTGGCTTGTCCGTTGATAAATAAATAAATAAAAAATATTAATTTGAATTCAGGAAATGCCTAGTTTTTGGGACTTTGGAAGGAGGCATCCAAAGCACCGAAACCTCCAAGATGGTTTATTCCAAATCGCGTCACAAACTTGCAGCTTATTGGTCCAAGTCAACAACACGAACAACATCAGCTACGGCGACAATTCGTCCAATATTCACCTCAACAACTTGTCATCAGGTTCGCATAGTAGAACTCCTCCTGCAGATCCTGGAGGATCAACCAGTAGTGATAGGGAACAACTGTTGGTTGTTGTACCACCCATGACAACAGATAAAGTTGTTAATAAATACAGACCAGTTCCAGGATTACTTGGGAAGCCTCGATTATCGGTAAGATTGAACACGAGAAACCCAGCCAACCATGAAATGTATAAGTGATGTATACTCCACATCACTTTGTGACATGCGATATCGCATTTGAAGTCACAAACATGTTACCGATACAACGTGGCGATGTCAAAATGTCCGACTCAAGCAACATCACTGTGGCGTCGTTCAGACATGAAATGCGACATCACATGATAAAAATCACTACCAGGTCACATACAAGTGTACATTTCATATTATAAATACATCACACTTCGACATCGATGATGTGGTCGCCGTACATGTGATATTCGTGGGATATATAATAATAATATTTATTCAACTTTACGAAGAAAATGTTTATTTTCCGAAAGTAAAAACAGATGATACAAAACTTATCATGACAATCACCCTAATTAGTAATCTTGAAGTAAAACATGACACACATATATAGCAATACAAATAGAGTTTATAATCCTTGATACAAATATACATTATTCATAAATGATCTTGTGATCTTTCATCCACCTTGTTTCAGATTGCAATAATATTCCTATCTCAGAGATAATTACAATATTACCTATTGTGATTGAACTCACCGTCGTTCCTAAATGATTGTATACATCATCCAATATGAAGCTGCTATAAATAATCTCAGATATTTCAACAGAGAATTTGGAAGGAAATAGTCTGTACGGAGTCGGACTCACTCACTGACTGACTGACATGGCCATGCACAGCTCAACATGGCGTCTGGCGTTTGCGTTCTTTTTGCGCATGTCTGCGTCACACTCACAGGTCACAAAGATATCTCATGAGGATATCAATGTGAATTATTTAGTTAACGTCGAAGAGATGTAGTTTGAAGAAGTCGCTGCCACATTACATAGTTTCCTGGGATGATGCGATGTCACTTTGCGACGATGATATCGAATCTACGTCGATAAGATGTGTTAACGAGGTTGTTACATCACACAGATGTTGATGTCACACGATGGTTGGCTGGGAATGTACAGAGGGTGTTTCTAAATTCAGTATACAGGGTGAATCTGAAAGTGAAGTTTATAATTTAACAGGGAACATATCAACATATCTCGCCAAAATAAGTTGTTTGGTCGAAAATTGTTTATGTATAAAATGTAAGATAACGTGAAGATGCATTTCAAGATTTTGTACATTGAAAATCTAATTTTATTAATCTTACATTTATTAGAGAAAATATGTAACAAAATCACTTCAAAACGAACATTAATAAGTTGAAAATGTGAAAAGAAGTATTTGATTAATTTATCTGATGAAATAATGCAACTGTGTATCTCTAATGCTAACTAATAATGGCATTTTTGTGTTTTTTTGAAATGTTTCATAGTTGAAGTCTTCTTTAAACCCTTAAATATACACCTACCTCATCTGTGCCTCATCCGTTATCTTAAATATTTTACCTATACGGCCACAATAGAAAGTAGGCAAGAACACACCAGATACAGCCTCACTAAGTTGATCTTTACGCACAGTAAGCACATCGCACAGTTTTCGTTTATTCCGACAGTTATGATCGCGTAATCGTCGTCAACAGCGGATATTACATAACTGTCAAGAAATATAATTCAGACTGTTTGTCCAAACTTTTTTGAAGTACTATCATGTAATTTTTAAATTTTCATCTTTCAAAATGGCTGAGATAATCTATTGGTATAGGTTAACTGGGACACCCGGTATATTCGAGTGGTGATACTACTTCATCAGAATATTTTCCATACCCTGTCCCAGAAATTTGCCAATAATTTCATTGAGTTTAAAATAATCGTCCGAAAATAACTCACGATTTTAGGACGATCCATCAATTATTCCAACAATTTCAGTTTCATGTATCCAAAACGATGATCATATTATTGCTACATGGCAAAATAGAAAGACAAATAGTTTCTTCACAAGTAGCCAAATAAAAAAAAATAGAGTTTCTATCTTAGTTTTCTCAATATCGTCAGTTATTATCGGATGATTTTTGTGGACTGGAAATCTTCTGGAACCGATTAGGGTATTGCAAATATTCTGATAATATCGGTCTAAGTAGCGATCTTTGGATTTCTAAGTCTACCAAGCATCGAAATGTCATTGCATTCGGGCCAGAGCCAACTTCATGTATTTTAATAAAATGCAATTCAACAGCCAATTAATGAACGAATATCAAATTGTGATACATACTTGAATAGAAAATTTCAAGGCAAATAAGATAGGCTACAGAAATATACAGGGAGCCATTTGAAAAAATAAATAAATGAACCTTGTGAATTTCAAATTTATATCTCTTCAAATAAAATAACTACAGGCTGTTACACATGTCTCCTGCGTCACCTGGTAATCCTGGTATATTATATACCATTTCGGAATCTGTATTGAATGGACAACTTTGTCTTATAATTGGTTACCTTTGTGGGGAAGTTTTTAAATCTGACAGCGGTATTTAAAAATCAACTGCAATATTTCATTCGATGACAAAATTTCTCAGGTTATTGATACGAAGTAACACAGGTCATAAAATTGTTACTGGGGCAAGGTGAATCCATGCGGAGGAAATTTGTGAAAGAAAAAAATCACAAATGTGACATCCCAGTTAACCACACATGTCTCAGCTCTATCACAAGAGAGATCAGTCAAAGAACTTTGTTTCATCACACCGTTCTGAAACATATGCAACTTGCATCTAAAATATAACATGCTACTGCTACAAATCAGTGTTTCATCACACGTTCTATCAATGTGATAAAATTGAGACACCCTAGGCGTCATCACACAAGAGATCAATCGAAGAACTTTGTTTCATCACACGTTCTATCAACGTGATAAAATTGAGGCATCCCAGGCGTCATCACAAAGCAGATCAATTAAAGAACTTTGTTTCATCACACGTTCTATCAACGTGATAAAATTGAGGCATCTCAGGCGTCATCACAAAGGAGATCAATTGAAGAACTTTGTGTCATCACACGTTCTATCAACGTGATAAAATTGAGGCATCCCAGGCGTCATCACAAAGCAGATCAATTAAAGAACTTTGTTTCATCACACGTTTTATCAACGTGATAAAATTGAGGCATCTCAGGCGTCATCACAAAGCAGATCAATTGAAGAACTTTGTTTCATCACACGTTCTATCAACGTGATAAAATTTAGGCATCTCAGGCGTCATCACAAAGGAGATCAATCAAAGAACTTTGTTTCATCACACGTTCTATCAACGTGATAAAATTGAGGCATCCCAGGCGTCATCACAATATAGATCAATTAAAGAAATTTGTGGCATCACATTCCACAACGTTCTGAAATTGAACTGATGCAAATTGCATCCAAAATATAATTCTTGCTTGTATTGTAGGTTTAATAGTGATCATTTGAGTACGTGAAATTCACTGTGGTTGTGGTTAATGTGGTTTAACAATCACGAAGACGAAGAATGTGCTTTGTGTTACTGGTCTTTCCTAACCTCACTTTTTCGTGGATTTTCAAGAAATTCGGTAACGAAACGAAATTAGCAGCACAAAAGGATACCTCGTTGTTTACAAAACAAAACTAATGTATTTGTTATTTCACTAAATGACCAGAACAACAATGATCTGCCATTCACCAAAATCACCAAGATGACTCTTATTGTTTCATTGGGACATTGAAATGAATTTCATTCCAAGTAAGCCACTTGTGTGATTCGAAGCCCTCTGCTGATGTAGTATGATGTCAGTACCTTCCAAGGTAAGTAAGTTTTAGATATGATTTGCCTAGCCACATGTCTATAGGTGGAATTCATTTCAATTGTATACCAATTAAATTTATAATCATTGAATAATCATTCGTAAATCATTGACCACATGGAATAGATATCTGCAAATAGATGATTATGTTTTGGTTCTTTATTCTAGCTAGGTTTGAGGCTATTTTTCAGTTTTTTAAGTACTTGTGATTCTTTGTATTCAACAAGGAAATTCAACTCTGCAATTTTAGTGACAATATTTGTAAATGTATCCTGTGTTTTGTGTCATATTTTTATTATTAATATAGGTATGCTACTATAGTTTGTAGTTTGAAATTGAATTTTTATTCCAGCTGGACTTCAAGAGAGGAAAATCATCAATTTTGATTTCAAAAGCATACTAGGTACAAAAATATACTGAAGAGACCAGGTTTTGATTCCCGTGTAGCGAAGACCAGCTGGTTAGGCCAATCTGAGAGTTTTCGCAATAATGACAGGTGAACACTTGTTTTGTATACTTTAATTTGCACTGAAATATTATTTATTCTAGTTGTAGTCAGCTCAACTAAAGATTTTGATCTCGATTTTGATGGAAAAATGGTTATTGAAGAGAACAGTAAAAACAAAACAATGATCTCCCATGAAAATGAATGATAACTTTTCTATGCATCACTTCCAAGAGATGGAATCTGCGGGTAAAAAGGAAATAAATGAAGGAGTTATGGAAGAAAACCATGCTGTGATCATCATGATAACTGGGAACGCCCTGTATATTCTATTTCATATTTTTATTTTACATATATTTTGAGGTTTGTTTAGTAATTTGTCAATGGATTGGAATAAAGTTTACATTTTTACTCCTTTTGTTTCACTGTTTTGAATGCCACTCCATGTGTTTAGGGGTATATTCATGGATTTTTTTATTTCAACATTTGAAAATCCAAGAATATATCCTAAACATTAAGGTGTTGCATTCGAAACTGATTCAAATACTGGTGGAACCAGTATAAATTTATGGATGATTTGAGATGGAGCTAATGCAGAGCACAGATTTATCAGAAACGTCTCTGGCATGCTCATGGAGAGAGCTATGTAGATACATAGTCATCACTGTGATCTCACAGGAGCATATCTGTTTCAAGTCTGATGTTGCATCACTGATATAAGTCTGTGATTTCATTTGAGGCGGACATTCATCTATGCTATATCTCTGATGGGAACATCTCTGTGATGAAACATGGAACATTTGAAATGCAGCAGGGATAAAGCTGCAGCATGTTTTGGTCAACTGGGATATAGTTTTATTTTAGACATTTTTTTTATAGAAATGAAAAAAAATAATAACTTTTGAACCATCAACAATTGGATAACCACATATACGGTTAGTTCGATTGGAATAAATGACCCTGAATATATCAATCATCATATATTATACTAAAAATATTAATGTAATGAATGAAAGAGGGCTCAACCGAATATGGAATAGTTAAGGACATATAATATATCTTTTTTTCCGGGCTTCCTCTTGTGATGAAATTACTATAGTATTTGATCCCAGAGGTAGGTGGTCACGGTGGTCACCCTAAAAAGTTTAGGAGATCTTCGCTATCGCCGCCACTGGAATTATTTGATTATTTTTGAAAGTTGGCAAAAATGACAACATTGACAACATCACTTACATGAGTTAACATGACATGTAAACAATAAACATTGTAACATGAGATTGAGATGATAACACTGTTTTAAAACAAAGAATGTTATTGTTCTGGTATTTTTAAATTTGAATTTGATTATCTTGCTTCTTTTAATAGTCAATACGTTTGGTCAGGTTGTGAAGACGAAATGAAAATCAAAGTTGATCTGCCAGGAAAAGTAGGTTTCCCATATTATTTTTGGCTTTAATGATTTTTTGTACTGTTGAGGTTCAAAGTATTTTGTTTTTGTTTATTAATTTTGCAGACTGTATTTGAAACACCTCTAGTTCAGAATGATGAAGATACAGAGCCCTGGAATCATAATGGTTATATGCTCCCAGTTGATTTAGAAGCTGCCCCAACAAGGTACTTATTGAAATTAATATAAATATGTAAGTATAATTATTGTTCTAAACCAAGTTTCTTTGTTATCAAGATGGGGTGATAAGTCTAAATGGTGTCGTCCATCATGTATTCCCATATCTATTATATGCATCCTGATCTTCCTGGTAGTATTATTGCCTTTATTGGATCATGCAGCTGAAAGAGCCTTGCAAGAGTTGAACTCTTCCCCTTATGACAGTTGTGATGATACTTGCAGGTAAAATTTATTTTTTCCTATATGTGCAATATAAAGTATATAAAAAACTACTTTTTCCACTTCAGATTGATTGTATATTGCATTGATACACCCTTCCAGATATTATTTTTTGTCTTTATAGGAGCAATATCTTTGACTTTTCTCTTTTGTTGATTGAGCACAACACAAATATAGTGAAAATTTCCTGTCTGTGGTTAAGTACACAAAAAAAATTAAGTAAATCTGAAGATGCATTTCCAAACAATTTCTGTATTTTCTTAGGGATTTTAAACCTAGTAGGTACATAATATCTAGGGGTAGATTCATACATGAAATCTAGTTCATGGATATTTTGTGTTCCAAAATCTCATACATGAATCCAAAGTTTCCATAGCAGATGTGGTTTTGATATTACCAAATCCTATACTACTGCATCTGCCACAGCTAGGATGTATACTATGATAAATTTTCCAAGAAACATTACTTCTCACAATGTGCAGTAATATTTTGACTCCCCAATTCTCATTTTCTTGTTCATCCATGAATCAAATCACATCACTTGTTTTGGTTTTATATTTCAATATATATATATATAGAATAAAAATATTCAATATGGTAATTTACCTCTTTGAGCACATATGAATAGAATAGAATTTATTCAATATTGGATACATCCTCATATTAACAAATCCAATAGCATAACAACACACAGCATAACACTAACAGTTTCTTGATTAAATAATATAGAAAAATATGTATATGTCTGAATGTACCCCATACTGTGTATGAAAGTACCCCCTTCAAGATTGTTTTTTAAATCCATAAATGGAAAATAAAAGGTTCATGTGATATATACCAATCAAAATCGTGAAGCTTCATATATTTTCTACACATCATACTCATTTTGAATATTTTTTAACCCCTCTCTGCAACTATATGGGCTGAAGAGTGAAAACTGTAGGAAGGGTAGGTTTTCATTTTGTAATTATCTCAATGAATGTGCAATAATAATTTTTAAAATATATATTGACCTGCAAAAAACACCCACTCAATGTGGGAACTAAATTTTAGTTGTTGACTTGATATCAGTCCCAACATCCCAAAATGAGAAGCAGGAAGTTTTTATCCATAGGCTACCAATGTTGAATGTGGATTATGTGTTCAAACTGATAGAAGCAGTATATCTTTGTGGTGTAATTTGCCCTGGCCAATGATGGCTAAATATCTAGACTCATTGCCCTGGCAATATGCAAATATGTTGTGGATGATATAAACAAATTGAATATTTTATCAAATTGTATTGAAATTTGCAAGACAAGAGGAATGTTAAATCTATAACAAAAACAGGAATAAAAAAGTGCAAAAATAAACGCCCATGGCTAAGGTCCCATGGCATTTGATAGTTGACAGGCAGTATGTCAAAATACCATCAATTTGAAGTGGCAAAATCAAAGGTTGAGTCATTGATACTAGCCAATCATGTGCCCAGCAAATTTATCTGAATGAAAAGAACTATTCAATTAATTTTCATGTAATTAATTACATAAAATAAAAAACTGTTTGTGTATATCACCCTGTGATGATTAATGACTTTATTCCTGTACTTTTGTACTGGAATTATTTTTTCTGCTGAATATTTATGAATATTTATATATTTTTTAGGTTATCATTGGTAGAGAGTATACCACAAGGTTTGGTTTATCCAAATGATTCAGTCATTTATCCTTCCACTTTTCATACATGGTTAGAATTAATAAGTTCAGCTCAAGAATCAATAGACATAGCATCTTTTTACTGGACTCTAAGGCAATCAGAAGTCTATCCAGATCCATCTTCTATTCAGGTAGAATACAAATGGGAAAGTAGTTTTTGATTTGAATAGTACATACATGCTTTTGATCATTCACCCAGTAGAATATTTTTCATGATGCCAGTAGTTATTCATGATCCTATCAACTATTTTAGTATCAGCATATTCTAGAATTTCTAGATATGAAATGATAATGCTCCAACGATCTTTGAATGGGATGTCCCAAAACACAACTTCAAGAATTTAATGAAATGAAATCTAAAAATCTAGAGAAATCAATGCAGACTTCTGCTTTCGAAATTCCTATTGAGTTTCAGAATTTCGATCACAAGGGGCGCGGGTGTCAATAACATGAAGTTAGTTATATAAGGCCTGGTAGAAGATGAACAAACTTGATGAAAATAGGTATTCATACACCAAGGTAGTAATGACTATCATTATTACCCAGGGACCACGTTTACATCTCGAGGCTTCAGCCGAGGGGTAAAAGGTATTTTTTACTACCAAGGTGTATAATACATGTTTTTCACCACTAGTAATATTTTTCAACCATTTCTGTGAAACTGAAAGAAGGACAATATTGTCACTTCTTTTCGATTCTAATACAGCAGTTCCGCTAGCGTTCACAGAAAGAAAAAATATCTTCTGGATCTGTCTTCGTCTTCAGTGTTCCAATGTAAAATAATGAAAATTTCATGTTGGTAACAATGAAAATGGGAAAAAGGAGAAGATCATATTAACATCAATATAAAAAAGAGTAAGAATGCTCTTCTTCTCCATTTCTTCTCATTTCCAGTGTTGCCAACATAACATTTTCATTATTTTATGTTGGAATAATGATGGAAGGAAGATATTGTGTAATTACTGATGCGCTTTTGTTTCAGAAATTTTACTCCACCTCTCGAGAACAGCGAGAGCAATGGTTCCATCGATCTTCTAATAGATGGCGACATTGCACAATTATAACATCTGTCAGTTTTGAAATTGTCGCAGATTTTTCGAATTGAGAGTTGAATAATCCCACTGTTACATATGTTCCGCGTACCTTAAATGCCATTTGCCATTTTATTTCCACTCGTCACAGCAGCAATAACAGCATCACCATCAAGCGGGAAAATGTAGAATCAACGTCTCGCTCATTGTGGCGTAGAGAAATCATAGTAGGCGGTCGAGTGATTTTTCTGAAATTTTCAATACGTAATAATGGCCGAATGCGCGCACCATATCTTACTTACATCATTGTTGGAATGATGAAGACAAGGAGATGGGGAAGACATTTTTCTCTCTCTCAACGCTAGTTGAACTGCTCTATTACCTAGTAGCCATGACCATACACAGCATAATAATATGACAAGTCGTTATTGATAAATACCTACTAGATTCGAGTGGCATTCCTGCGAATTTCGCATCAGAACAGTGAATTCTGGTTAATTATAACAGAGGTGGCTATGTCTTTATTGACTAAGAGTTCAATAAATGACCTACCTTGGTAGACAAAAACACTATGCCTTGAAAAGTAGTAAATAATGGTAGTTTCTATAGCTAGTGGTAGAAAATAGTTATTGATTATACAAGGGAAAAAAGTTGTAGATTTTAGCTTAGCGGAGGGAGACAATGTTTACACTATTTTCTTCTGTGACAGAAGAAAAGACGAATCAATATTGAGAAGATATTACATTATTTTGAAATCTGAAAATTATCGACGTGAAATTTCAAGTTTTTAACAGTAGGGACACCTTCGTTGTACGCATCTTTATCATTCTTTTGAAGTAAACAAATATCTGATGTCACTTCTGTCAGTCTAATTCTGTGATTTGATTTCAAAATATTGCGAATTTAGTGGTTGTTTTGTAATATACGTGTGTTGATCCACCCCTGTATAAGGGAGATGTTGTCAGATTATATACCGAGCGGCTGGTATGTTTATACAGGGTGTGGAATCTACAGCAGATATTAAATTGTGTGGGTTCGGACTATGATGGTGGCAGAATGCAGAAGAAAAACAAATAGATAGATAGTAAACTATAATCTAGGAAATAAACTACATTCATGATCAGAATCCTAACAAATTCAAATATTCAGAAAACTCAAACTTTTGATGTCTATTCACTTTTATCTCAAAGTTAAGTAAATATCTAAAAACTCAAATAATCACTCTATAAATTCATAAAATCAAAAATAATCAATATACAATCAATAATCGTGAACCAGTATTTATTCACCCTAGGTTTTCCTACAATGAAAACTCTCAACTCAACGTTGATATTCTTTAAACAAAAAAAATAAACTCCCCTTTATAAACTTCTACAAAGAATACACCCAGTAACACTATATATATCAAAACTCAACCCTACTTCTACTCTAAGCCCATATACTATAATAGCTAAAACTCTAATCATCCCTTATTTCGATACCTCTTATCAAGTTAGTTTGCAAAACCCTTATACGTCTAATTCATTAAACAACATCCTAACTCTTGACACTAATAGGTTGACTGACTAGTTTCTTCAAAATGTCCATTATATTATCTTTAGAAAATTATGTTGAATGTCAAAAAGCACTTTCAGTCCTCTAGTCTGTTAAATGTAACCACAAAGACATACCAACTTGCTTGGGAGTTGAAAGAATTGCCATCATCTCTTTCTCACTTGCACTGATTTCTAATAACCACTATAGATAGGTACTTCTATGCACTTCGCGATCTATTCTGATTCTATTGGAGCTACATCTTTACTAGTTGACGTCTCGAGAGTTAATGATCAATTGAATTTCCATTTTTTACAATGAAGTGTTTTTATAGTCAAAATCAACAAAGCAAGTTACGTCATTCTTGTTATTTGGTTTTAGTTCACTCATGGAAGGGATTTCATAGATTCATATGGCAATAACAATAAATCACATCATATTCGTTTGTCGGTCTCAATAATTAGCGCATTCTTGGACATACCAATTTCAAGGTTGATCTAGAGTCATTAAAATAAATATTGAATATCTGAAATTTGCCGACAAAAGATGTTTACTTAACGGGTATGAATTCTTTTTACAATATTTCAATATTTTCCTTAGATAGTATTTCGCGGGGCATAACATCCGTCCATCCCCTATTTGAAATCGAAATATATCATATATTTCGATTTCATTCCTCATGGTAATTTTCAACGAAGCAATTTCAAAACTCAAGTATCCTACTCCTATTACATAGTTACCTAAAATAACATTCTTAAAACTATACAAGAAACAATTATAGAATATCTGTTGGCTGATCTTCAACAATAACCAGAACTGTCGTTGTCCATTTGAGTTTCCACGGAAACTTGTGAGCTCCATCTGCGTCCAACGCAGCAGCTCAAACTAGGTCTGTGGGCTGATTCGGTCCTTCGTCTGCTGACTCCAGGCAAGGGGGAGACCTCTCCAGGTAGGCGTTCGAGAAAAACGCTTGTACTAATCTCATTGATTTGCTCTCGCTGCGAGCACTGTGTCCAAGGGTGGAGGTAGCATCGTCAGTAGCGTGCGCGCCACCTTGGTAAGGTGTCCATAGCACCTGTTGAGTGGGCTTCGGGGCGGCAGAGGAGGCATGGCCTCAGGAATGCAATGGGTGCACTCGCATTCCTATCCATGAGCATTGGAATACCATATACGTTTCCAATGAAACAGCAGCATATACCTATATTGATAGGTGGTAGCACAGGTAGTAGCATCGGGCGATACCTTGGGTATAGCTCTGGCTTCTAGAGAACGTCTCGTGGGTGGGCGAACCCGCAGGTAATGGACTGTCAAATGGCTATGACAGTTAACAGCAACATCACTCGTGCTTCACTCCTAATGTCTTATGATTGTGGTTACATTTTGGTCACATTTTGGTCAATAAAAGAATGTCTATTATCGCACGTTCGTCTCAAATTCTGTTGTAACTTTCAGTCCTCTGATAAATAAACTTATATTCCTATTTCATCCTCATATACAATCTATCACCAAATCCTTCATAAACAAATAATAACTAATACATAACATTCTCGACTTTCTCACAATTTCAATTTTTGTCAAACATCTCAATAAAATATTCCTTTTGATTTGTACTCAAATATTTTTCCAGTAATTATAACCTTTCCAGCATTTTTAGTATTACTATTTCGTGAAAATTATTCCAATTCATTTTTCCTTGAAATCCTTCATAAGGTATCCTATACCTGACTCAATTTTCTATTCGAATTTTCGCAATCATTTACCATTTTACTGAAGTACCTTTCGTACATCAAACAGTGTCCGTTTCGGTGTGAGAAATGTATATTGCTCTTATGACCTTCCTTCCTTTTCCAGTCCCTTGATTTTGATAACCAATTTCATCGAATTCCGAAAGTATAGTGCCTGTGCCTTCATTAATAAAATCTGTCTAAAATTTATCATCATTTTCAGATTACCTACTTAAAATAATGACCTATATGTGTTATCAGTCCTACTCGCGTCTTCTATGTGTGCTGGATATTTATTGTTTTTATTTATTATATAGCCCGCCGTAAAACCCAATCTTGTTCTGGTACATCACCTCGTGACCGAGTTTGATAACTATGGTTTGGATTATTTTCATTACCTATTTCAATTCCAAGATTTTCTTCTGGTTCATTCTCGAAATCTTCATTGGCGTCGCTATCGGAAGGTTCTAACTCGACACTTTCAGTTTGATCGGTTTCAGGGTCACTGTCATCTGTTTCAGGGTCACTCTCGTTTTCTGAATTGCCCTCATTAGAAGCATCGTCCCAAAATTCGCGTTCTCGGAGGTATGGGTTTTCATCTTCGAAATTTTCCTCTGGATTTCCAAATTGTGGTAAAATCTCTTTTTCGGATTGATTTTCTTCCTGCTCGTGTTCGCTGATTTCCACTCCCTTGAGCAATTTTAGTCGATTCGCATGCACATTTTGCACCTTTCTTCCACCTATTTCCTGTATCTTGTATGTAACGTTCCCTGTTTTCTCGATTACCCTGTATGGTCCTGTATACTTCTGCTGGAATTTTCTAGATTTTTGCTTCTCTGTAGG